ATTATATTTTAGACGATGTTCACAAGACGGGCGAACAATTAGAACTGCCTACAAAACGTGGTGACAGTGTGCACATTTATACCTGTGGTGTTCGCAGGCATCCCCAAACCATATTTAGTCATAAACTCGTTTCTTCCAATATTTTAGGATGTCGATTTTTCCACGCAGTACACATAAAACATTTTGCTTCAACAAGATCTACATAATTTCAATTGATAAATACAAAATAAAGTTAGAAAGTACGTGTCGGAAAAATTATTAAATGTATCACATATGCATAATACTTTATTAATAATCACGAAATAAATGCTACAATGAAATAGTATTAAAATAAAACAGATTCCGCTTTGCGCATCCTCTTCCCAAATAGAATAAATCGATCATTTGTAAATATGTAAAAGAAGTTAATAAAAAAAAAAACACATTGACCAAGATCAATCATTAATAAAACAAACACTGCGAAAGCTATCAATAGCTAACATTGATCAGTGTAAAATTGGATAATCAAGTTTTAAACGTTATTAGACTTCTAGTTATCCCATTATTTCAGTTATTTATGTTGTGCACTTTATTTATATATATAAGGAGTATATTATTTATATATACATATATCAAATGCATATTTGATTCGAATAATCAATATTACTACATACCTATTCACTATTTACTAAACATATACACTGTGTCCCATATCTCCTCGAACACAAGGAAATAGGGGGTTGCTGAGGTGACTCTGAACAACTTTTTCCTTTTCCAAAATGTAGTTTGAAGCTTCGTTTTTGAATTATTAACGAAAAACACTGGCCAATCAGAGCGCGCGTAGAGCTTGCGCTCAGGGACGGGTGAACAGAAATTCACCCGCGTGCTATCATGAACGACGCGTACGCGTGACTTCTCGGTTATCGATAGTTATCGAAAGCTTAGAGAAATGGTTTTTTGCCGTCATTCCGATGTTTGTATAACAATACATACAGTGGAGGACAAAAGTATTCGTACACCCTATAAAATGGAACAACTTTTTTAAAATTGGGCCAAACGACTTGAGTTTTTTTGAGAAGTTAGAAAGATCAGTTTACTAGATGACGTGTAAAAAATTTTTGAAAAAGCAAACTGTGCAAAGGCAATTTTTTTACAGCGATCGATAATCGAGAAGTCACACGCATACGCATTTGTTCAATCGCGCGCGGATGAGCCTCTGTTCTTCGTCCCTGAGCGCGGGCTCTACGCGGGCTGTGATTGGCAAGTGTTTTTCGTTAATAATTCAAAAACGAAGCTTCAAGCTACATTTTGGAAAAGGAAAAAGTTGTTCAGAGTCACCCCAGTAACCCCCCATTTCCGGATTTTGCAAGAGTTACGGGACACCCTGTATATCCATAATTGTAAGCATATCTCAAATCGCCCAAATGATCCTCTATGTCCTGATAAATTACATTCATGATTCTGTTAACCCTTTGTACACCAACTATGCCATAGCAGTGCCATTGTAATATTATACTGCACTGTTAATTTTGTATTTTCGAAAAGAACTAATGTTTTCGAATAATAAAGTAAGTTTTGTTTAAATAACTGCTTCTACGTGAAGTGTACAGGGTTAAGGTAATAATCAAGCTTTGTTTTATCGTCCACCTTTCAAGAGAAATAGATTCCGCTCTAACCGTGTAAAAACTGCCACATCCCTTATTTTTCTCTACTTATTACTTTTCTCTTTTTTCCGAGTTACACCGCTCGCTCCCACGTGAGCGCAACGATGCGCAGAAGCCTGAAATCGCGTTAAGGCTCGGTGCAATGTCTAAGTTACGTGAGCGACGGAAAGGAACGGTAGGAGAAAAGGCGCGGTTGAGGGGGAAAGGGGAGAGAACTTCCAATATTAGCTGCATTATAAACCACTTGTACCTACTTGAATATTTCCACTTACAGACAAATTGCAGATAGACCGCGTATGCATGTAAGACTCTGTGTGATTATATTGCAACGCTTGTAATAGTGTCACGCTGTTGCACGTGCGGACCTTCCACGGGAATATTGTTCGAGGCAGGGAAGGATCTATAATTAAAGTTGCATTTAATCGTACTTCCGAGCCTCTTGTACGAGCTCGATATCCTTAAAAGCTTCAAGAGGAATTTCCTATTATACGGTTTTCTTGTTAAATTTACACCTTCATCGATAAGCTCGATGATAATTTTCAATTAACTAACAAAACAAAAGCATCAGAGACTTTATTAATTTTCATTTTGGTGCGTTGAAGGTACTCTGAGTTGTACTAAAGTAAGATATGCTGGTTTATTAGTTGCTTACAAAAATTAGTTTGGAATAATTTTTTATTTTAAGAAAATTAATTTTCATAAATGGTGACTTATATCAGTATTATTCAGAAAAAGTCTGTATAGAGTGATTTATGCGACACATACTGCACCTAAATATGCACATGTTGGTGGGAAAAACATAAACTATCGTTCTAGAAAATATTACATTTTCAGTGATCTCTATGTGCACAGCTTTGAACCAGGCTAATTTATAAAATTCTGTAGGTTTTAATAATTACAAACAAAGCTGGTGATTGTTGCTGTATTTACAGAGGTACAAAATAAATTGAATGATATAATCTCTGTCCAATATAAGAGTAACATCGTTTCACGTATAGGACGTATCTGAGGTGGTCCTAGAATGTCGGAACCCCCACTTAACCGCCTATATTTTTCTCCGTCTTACCGTCCGCTACACTCTCAGTTGTATTCAACGAACTTCAAGTGTTTATTTAGTATATACATACATATGATATTACTTTTAAAGATTTTGCTCTTTTTCAAAGTAAATTTATTGCGGTTTACCTCAATAGTTATTCTTCCAGATCATTTCCACTATCACAGTAATTAAATATTTATAGTTTTTCAAAATTTAACTTTTGAAATACATTAAGGGAAATCTTTGCCGGAATAGGTTATTTTTAACGTAGCATTCAAAGCTAAATGAACTTAAATGATGTTTTTAATGTTCAAAATAGGAAAAAAAGGTATTTTAAAAACAAATTATTAATAACGAATTATTTATTTTTTAGTTGGAAATCTGGAATACTTGTTCAGAATGTCGCAAAAGGCATTTTATGACATGTTTTTTGACTATTGAGGACTTGAGAAATTACCTTCTAATTTTCCTCTCACCAGGACATACTTTATAGTATTGCTATATAGTAATGAGGCCAAACCAGCCTCTATGGCATGTCTATGTAATAAACCGCTGCGCTAACGCGCACAGTATACATACTTTTAAACTACCTACTGCCCACTCTGAGCACTGTTTACGTTAGCGTCAGTGATACCACGTTTTGGGACTAGTCGAAATTGCGCTACGACCAATCGCATACGTCACACTGCGAACGCTGTTCGCAAACTGTTTGTCACTGTTACACGAACTTTTAGCGAACATTGCTCGTGTAACAGTTCAGGAACAGTTCCAGAACACCAATCTATCAGTTTCTGCAGTTTCTTGAGAGGAATTAGTTCGTTACTTGTGTTTGCTGTGCACTCGCTACTCTTGAAAAATCAAGACTTGTAAGATTAATTTAAATTTGTTGAAAATTTTGAGTACGCAAGATCAGTTGTTAGCATGCGCTAGTTTTGTTGTTATTCATCTGCTAGTAATATCTTCATAATCCTTATTAATCCCTCAGTACTTTGGATACACTTCTCTCTTTTATTCTTTGAAATTACTGCTCCACACGCGAACACATGGCAAACTGTTCGCAAACAGCCACAGAACAGATGAAAACAATGTCGAGCGTGTCTAGCTCGGATATTGTTTGCAAATTCGTACACAGGTCGCGAAAAGAAGTCTACAAAAAATTTTATTTCATTCTAGTCGCTTGTAATCAATTGTAAATAATTCTTATTTTAATCAGAAAAATCTTACCAATGAGAAGAATCTCACTACATATACCTAAATATGAATTTGTTACGTGTTGCGAAAAGATTACGCAGTAGTTATAAAATATCAGCGAGCAGTGTTCATGGAATGTTCGTCGGTAAGGACGTCCCTTTTAACTCTGCATCACGAACAATTCGCGAACAGTATGCGAACAGCCGATGTCTAGGAAATTTGATTCCCATACTGTCCGCGAACAGTTCGCAAACTCTGGTGAAGACACACCTTTATATTGGACAGAGTTTAGATGCTGTTGCGACCCAATGCAGTTAAGTAATTTGTAACGACCTTCTTATCAGACTTCTGACAACCTCATCCGGGTATGTCATAAATTAGCGTTGACAACTGTCTATACATCACCTCGTATTAGAAAATACCACTCAGCCTACCAATAGTTCCACGACTTCTGCAACCAACAAAGAAGGGAACATAATTTTCTATAAAACAAACGTTCGTTGTCCTTATAAAACAGAAAACAACTTTTGCATATTGAAAAATGTAAATACAATTAAATATCATGCAAATATGTAGAAGTATGAATACAACGGTAAATAATTGTTTATAATAAATACGGTATTAAAAAAATTATATTCCTTTATATTTCGGTAAATCGTCTCAAATGATAATTTTTTTCTACACGACAATTGTTTCTGTCTCTTATGGTTAAATATTTATATGCCAAATAACAAAAAAAGAACACACGAAAACTTTGAGAGTTAAGTTTCATATTAAGCATATAAGCAAAATTAATAAGAAGAGGAGCCGGCAATATTTTAACAGAACGGTAGGTAGGGAACATGTTAGTAATACTATTAGTAAATAAATATGGCTTATACCTGTATTTTACTATTAGATAACTACTTAACTGGCAGACGATTCTCTTATTTCACCGTTTCTTATAAATAAGCAGATGTACGTGTATTTGGCAACGTTTTAAATACCCTACGTAGCCGTCTACAATGTTCTGGGCCTAATACGAACCTTAATGAATCTGTACAACGAATTATCCTTATACGTACATATGTACCTCTAATATATGGGATCGATCATAACGTATTGCCTTATATTTTTGTTTCAGGGCCGATGTAATCGGGAAAAGCCACCGTGCAAATATTTCCACCCACCCCAGCACCTGAAGGATCAGCTTTTGATAAACGGGCGCAATCACTTAGCTCTAAAGAATGCGTTGATGCAGCAAATGGGTCTCACATCAGCTCAGCCACTAGTGCCTGGCCAGGTACCAACAGTGGTATGTCTGAACTTTAACACATTCGTTGCACCACGTCTTCTGCTGTTCACACATCCACACATTTTCTTTTTACCACGATCGACAGATCTTGATTTTGTCTGTGTTAGTCGATGACTATCACTAGATTACCCTTTTGGTACGCAATGCCGCGTAAATGGTCAACGATGCGGTGTGTCTTTGCCTTTTTGCTATTTTAATGACTTCGACTAACTAATTTTTCAACTGTATAATTATACAGAACTTTACTTACTTGTTAGTTTGGTACAGTATCGATTTTGAAATTTAGATATTTTGTTCTTCCGACTTTATTAAAAAATATTTCGTTAAAAGTATTTATTTTAAAATTAGCACTTGAATAATCTGAATTGATTAAATTGATCAAAGCTCCCGAAAAGATCTCACACTCTACCGTCTCCATTTACCGGCGTTCTTTATTTGCGGGCATTGCACCGAGAGATAAACCTCAGAGAGTAAACTTTAGCACGCCGCATGTTTTTGGTCAGTGTTAACCCCTACTCCTTTAATTTATCCATGATTCTTGATAGACAG